TGGCATCTTGAAAACCTTTGTACCTTGTAAGTCATTTGTATCAGCATTACCAGTATCATTAATTCTTCCATAGATCATAGGATTAATTCCATCTCTTATATACATAATTGTCAGGTAAGTATCGGTTCAGTTCTTCACCACTCCTTGGAGTTCTAAATAAGGTAATGAATGCTCCAGTCAGTTTAGAAGATGATTTTACAATATTCATATTTCACCACCACCAGCATTGAATGTTTGGGTGATTGTGTGATAACAATTAGTAATGTTTCTTATCTTTGCCATTCCGCCCCCTTCTATGTCCTGCCATTCTAACACTCAATGGCTGACAAGTAGCACCAATATAGACATCGTCATTTTGTCATTTAGTATTCTGTAAAATTTTGCCTTGGAGTAATCCACCATAACATTACATATTTTAACTAAGTTTAAATGTTGTTTTTTAAATGAGTGATTGGGGTTAAATCCATTGCTTATATTGGTGCCGGGATTGATGTTCCAAAGGCCGTTCCCTTCAAAATTGATATAGCTGTGGCTCATTAAAGGGTTAGGTTCTTTCAAATCAGAAGTTACAGCGTAACCATCCAACATTGAAACAATATCGGATGGATTGAGGTAGTCAAGTCTTTTGGGACTTTTGTTCCTTTCCTTTTTGTTTTTATTGTAGGGGTAGCATAGGTTGTTGTAGCAAATGTATTAGGTTGTTCTTGATTGATCTTATTACAGCACTTGCAAGGTTATGCCCAACCAAACGGGTTATTTCTGGTGACTTTTCCAATTCTTCTATAACATGTTTGTATTTCTCACTGTGATGAACATTTCTAGTAGGTACTAATAACAGATCATCCATAATATCCCTTGTTAAAGATCCATCACAACCACCTGTGCCACTTATGTATAAAGTCTTACTTGTTTTGTAAAAAACACTTGGTGATGAATAGGCATTCCATAAGCCCCTGCGGTCTTCTATCTTCTCCTTGTTTGCTATATTTTTCTCTTCAGCATATAGTGTTCTATGTTGTTTACAGTGATCATTTAAGTTTCTTGTAAAGTCATTCATTCTATCATTCCAATTTTGGTTCTTTTTTTCATAATCACTGTAGGTTTCTTGACCGATCTTACTGAATAACATCTGGGCGCTTCCAGGCAGATCCTTCCAGGCAATGTCAGACACATCAATCATTCTCAAGAAAACGCATGAAAAAGGTTGAAAAATGCTCATGTTCATCGAAAAACGCGCCGCTCACAGCGCTCCCCTCTCTTCTTTTTCACACCTTGGCTGAGGTTTTGACTCACTGCGAATCTGCATGTGGGGTTCAAGCGTATGGTTATGACCAGAGTGTCATCCATACCGTCGACGCAGACAGTCCGACGAGAGAGGTATATATGTACACACACACTCGCACACACTCCATATCAACCACATCTACGTAGATGTGTGTCACGGGGCGTGGACGTGACAACCAACATTTGAAGGTTGGGTTGCCCGCAACAGAAATCACAGCATGTGCAGCAAAGTTGAAGGCACTTGCTAGGATTGTGTTGTTCTTGTTCTTGTTGTTGGCCCTTATATGAATCATTCACTTAATGTTGAAATCATGCATATTCTTTGCACGTGTTCTCGTCAGCCTGGTGGTACCACAGTTCTGTCAAGTGTCGAGTCGGTGAGTGTCTGGACAGGACCGAGAAAGAAGCCGGGAAAGAGATCGGTCCCTCGTTTGCAATTCGTGCATCGCAGTTATGGAGGAAATGTGGCCTTTAAAGGCTTCTGTGTGTGTTTGCTGTTCGGTGTATTTTCTTTCAGACATTGTAGGTGTAACGGGCCCTCAGACAACATATATACTGTAGTGAAACAAGCGACTTAGAAGTCGCGCCAGCCAGGATGTACATTGTTAAAGCAGGGCTAAAGGAAGTGGGTTCCGCAGTTGGATCCGCACGTTTTCTGTTGCAGGAACGTGCACCACATGGTGGAATAATACTTCTATGGGGTGCCCGCCTGGGCTTGCTACAACACTCTATTCAACTGGCAGATGACCTCTTTTCCTATCACATGTCATGGAATAAGTGTTCAAGATGCTTTTGGTGATAGCTTTGGCACGCCCAAGCCGTGAGGTGGGGAAGTGGAAAGATGTGCAGACCCTCCAGACCTCGCCTGATCTCGCCACGTTGACTTCCTGCTTGACTTCCACTTTGCCCCTTCCCCAACTCTTCGAACTCGAGCTGTCCTGCCCTTCGCACGTCTTCCTGCCGGACTCTGCCTGCCCTGACCTCCCCTGCTATTCACGTTCTCAACCTGGAACATATATCTTAAACCTCCTCGACATTTTTGTGGACTTAGCTTCTTCACTTGGGTTTCATTGTTTCGTGGTTTCAACTGAGGAGTTTCCAGGGATGATGTTTTCGCAGACTTGTGCAGGAAAAGAAAGAGCAGAAGCCGGGATAGGAAGCGAAGAGAACGCTCCCGAAGCCGAAGCCGCAAGCGTTCAGAAGAGCGGCCGGCGTTGCAGGACCATAGCTCTTTTTTTTTTTCCGAAGTGAACATAAGGACATGTGTGCATTGAGCATCCGGTTGCGGACGGAATCAAACATCCTGGGTCGGACCCCCAACAAAAGGTTTGTGTGAATCATCTGACCATTCAAGTGTTTTTTCTTTGACCTGTTGTTGGAAGCAATCGATGACAATAGCATACAATTGGTGGATGTCAGTAACCAACGTGGGAAAGGGTTGTGTTCAAAAATGCTTGAGCACGGTCGTATCAAAAGCATGAAATCAAACGTACGTGTTTGACTTGAACCTGTCTTGGGGACAGATTCCTAAAAGCAAACAACGAAGCAGGTTACATCTTTAAGGATCTGATTTTCCGCATCTTATTCACCTATTTCAGTGGGTCAAGATTAGATCACATCATGCAGCGAAAGGCTACCAATTACAACCTAATACATCATATTACAACCTCATCAAATTCGCTGGACTAAAAACTTCTATTTTGGAAAGGACATTCAGTGGCAGGCGTGCATCGAACACGGATCATATTCAATTTTTATGAGTGAGACATCTAGTCTTTCCGAGTACTTTGGCATGGGATAAAGCTATGAACCAATTGCGTGGGCTGCAAGCCCCACAAACGCTTTTCGAGTAGGCAGTGCGCTTGGGACTAAAGTCCTTTGAACTTATCGAATTTCGGCAGGCTGACATGCCTAATACCTGGAACTTCCAGCATTCGGAATTTGGAACCGTAGAAGCATATTGGCATGATTAGGGCCAGGCTGTTGTCCTGAAAGTGCTTGAGGTGGAATTTTCTTTCACGCGTATCGAACATATGAGAAGTAGCTGCATCTCAAGACTCAAGACCTGCCGTCAGGATGGGGCGGTTGCAATTGAGGAGGAGGGTACAACAGCAGTAATTTAATTTGTCCAGCCCTTGGACGATCAATTCCGAGAGAGTTGCCATTTTATATTTTCGATCAAGTGGAAGCCTACTATGCGCTTTTGGCTGTATGAGGAGTTGGAATACGTTTGAGCATTGCTTGATTTTCGAGATATGCGTTTTGCATTGCGTGACATGCCAAGAACATGTTGAGGCGAATTCATTTGCTGCAAGGAAAAATGTAGCTCTGGACAGAGGTCACGTATAGACCCAAGAGATCAGTAGTGTCAGTAGTGTCCTTTTATAAATTGGCTTCGCATCTTCCCGGCTTCGCCGGACCAACCAGAAAGGAAGGCTCGGTGCGCAGAGGTAGCAGAGGTAGGCTTTGCGGCGCCTATGCGGAGTATTGCCCTTTCGCGCAAGGCCTTGCAAGGGCATGTGAAGTTATGCAAGACCACCTGAACTGAGAGGTAGTCTTTGGGGAGAGTCTTCGAAGATGTAAGCATGCGTTGCCTGTGGATTAACTCTCATGACGTGTCGGGCAAGTAGCCAAGCGCGTGCTCTTGGATCCTCTGGTATCCGTATTTTAGGATAACTTGGCAGCGCTGAAATAGAAAAAAGGCAACACCGGAAGGCGTATGGGGCCTGCAGTGAAGATTTTTGTTAAGGGGGGGTAGGCCGCTAATAGAGGGAAGAGGTAGGTTAGCTAGGGAGTCGCTAGTGCCTACAAGTAAGCTACTACCTACTGGACGCAGGATAGCTCACGCTTCTTCAAGAAGCTCCCCCCGCAGCCCTAAAGGCGGCGGGGGGGAGCTTCCTTGAAGAAGCACGCGCAATATTCATTTGTTGTCTAGATATTTAGGGACCCGGGAAACTTAAAGCTAGCAAAGAGTGTTGATCTACTTGGTGTTTGTGTGGCTCGGGGCGGCTGAAGGATCTGATTCGGCCCAAGCCGTTGATGACTAAGGTTTGCAGGGAGACAAGACGAAGGCTGCGGTGCTATGGTGAACATTTGCTGTTTCACCGCAATGGCAAAAGAAAAGCGTGGAAAATAACGAAGCACCTCGGGCACACAATTTGGATCAGTTTGTCACCTTGCATCAGAACATCGATCATCATAAATTGAGCAGGTCAGCGTTAGGTTTCTGGCAAGCTGGGTGTAGGCTCAAGGGCAAGGCGCGGTCGACAAAATTCGATCACGTTGCTTTGTCCCTCCAAAAGCTGAATTCCATTTGGATGATTGAACTGCTGCAGGAGTGCATACCAGGAACATAGGGGCCGTTTGCCCATGTTTTCGATACACAGTTTTGTAGTAGCTTCGATACGTCCCTTCTACACAAAGCAATTGGGGCGAAGGGGTTGCAGCATGAATGCGCTGAGATTTTGCTGCGCTTGGACGACATGATTGCTTCAGGATCGCTGAAGTGTTTTCTTATTGCATCGTTGCTCATGAGTCTTGTTTTTGCACACTCCTTTTTCAGGAGGGACTCAACTCAATGAATACTGTTTTGCACACTTTTTGAAAAGCTTTGGATCCGGATTCAGACTTCTTCCCATGAAAGTCTTTTGACAGTTTTTTTACATGTTTCCAGTCTTTTTGCAGGCTTCTTGGCAGAACTTTGAGTCCCTCTTGTGATGCACAGGCGGGATCGAAGATGCAGCACCAATATCACTCTAGTTTCAATGCTTGTACTTGAATGCCTTGCAAGGTTCGTGCATTCATGATGTCAGGCTACAGAATGAATCCCGCTTGTCTCCCCGTGCCTCGTGCCAGGGACGATGCTCTTGCGGGTTTCTTTCCCCGGGACATCATTGACCAGGAGATTCATCAGATTTGCGAGAGTTGGCCGACCATTCTGGAGGATAACACTATCATCCGGAAGTCGCAAGGCCGATATCGGATCAACGGACGCGAAGTGTCAATCTCATTGGTCACTCATGAAGGAAAAGATGAGGAGGACGGACGCGAAGGGCTGCCGAGATGCTCGCCAGATGTAGTGAGTCTGAAGGAAATTACGACAAGCCTTGGGGGAAATCCGGACGACCTCATCGTTCGAGATGGTCCGCTTACGCAGCCTTTCCTGGACTATGTGTTCGATACAGGGGAGAAAGAAAGCTATGCGATGGAGATTTCCGCAGATGGAAGAAGCTCTATGCCCTTGGCGTCTGATATGAAAGGAGGGCAACTGGTGGCTGACCCAGGAGATAGGCTTGAGGTCACTTGGCAGCAGCAAGACATGGACGTGCCAATTCATGGTTGTTGTTTTTGCCTAACACTTTGGTTGACGAGGAAGTTGCGCCAACCGATCGTAGAAGGAAACAACATATTGTGAGGCCATGAGCATTGCATTGAACTCAGTGGAGACCCCCGACCCTATGATGGCCTTGGGTGAATTGCCAACTATGCCTCTTCCACCTCAGTTGCTGGGAACCAAGCTGTGGCAGAGTCCCGGACAGGCACAGGTTTTGCCAAAGTGAGTTTGATCTCGGTGTAACGAGGCCAAGAAGTTCTGAACCAGCACAGCCTGCAGCAGGCCAAAGAACTCATCACTTTTTCGATGAACAGTTGTGTCTGTGTCTTCAACCTGGGCTGAACAGAGAGCTGAAGCCCATCATTGAGCAGATTGTTGAGTTTGTCGACAGATCAAGTTGATTTTGTTTGGACTTTTTGTGCAACCTCAGGCGTTCATTTGTCACACACGGCTGGGCCGCTCTGCATTTCAGAGTCTCTTGGCTGCGGATCTGATCCAAGCAGTTTGGAAGATTTAGAAGCCCCAAGGCACACATCGAGCAGGGTTACATTGCAGGCTGGCTGCTTGTAGGGGCACACGTTGCCACGACTTGCTGTGTAGATTCTGTAGTTCTTTTTGCCCCGAGTCGCATAATTACTCAAGGGTGGCCTTTGATTCACGTTGACTTATCTCAGATGATTTCCAAAGGTAGAATGGCGTGACTTGAATTCTTCAGCTTTCATGCCAGAGGCAGAGTCTGTTGTGGAGATCATCATGGATTTACCCATAGTGATGGAGACCAGCAGTTTTGCCTGCCATGCGAGTTTGTCGCTTTGCGCTCCTGAGGTGCATGGGGGAATGCACGTGTTTCTGTGTCTTTTCTTGAATAGTGATGGCCTCCAACCTAAGAGCGATGGGGGGGCGCCTAAAGAAAACACTTTGAGCTGTTACAACATCATCTCTTGGACTTGAGACCGTGTCCCTGGTAGTGGTATGCGCTCATAAACACAAGTAGTTTGACGCGTCGCCACACTTGGTGGTCCGCTGTGCAGCCACGACAAACATTGGTGTTCTGGCTCTCTGTCTTTCATGAAGCAGCTTCCTTTCGTAACAGGCTAGGTAAGGTACCCACGCAGCCTGCGTAGGCTTATCTACCTACCCTTCGCGCGGCGGAACATGGCCCGCGGACGGAAATGCAACATGTGTAGCTCACCGATGTCCACTTTCTGCGGATCGGAGCAAGGCCCAGGTGGCGAAGCAAAGGGAAACCCCAAAAGGGGACATCAACAAAAATGCAAATGTCAGTCGAAGTTTGCATCCCAGGTTGCCAGAGCTGAATAGAATGTAATGAGCTAAATTATGTCATCAACAAAACTTTAAGTCTACACATCATACAGCTTAAGGGTCACGATTGTGGAAGAACGGTTCAACTTGAGCGCGCGCTTTTTGGATGTGTTTGTATTCAATGTCAACTATTGCAAAGCTAGCCGGTAAGCTAGGCTGAAGGTTTTTGTGAATGAAGTCACGAAAGCTAGCTGTAGCTAGCTGGAGTCTGTCTTGCCTTAGCAAGGAGGGTGGGAGCCCAGGACTTGAGTGCTATTACCTGATATATCAGGACTAGAACCCCCCCCCCTCGCGGGGTTCAACTCCACCCTTCTCCTCCTCGGTACTTGCTGCTGCTGCTGCTGCTGCTGGCATCTCATCTGCGCCTGGCTCTTGGCTGCTTCCTGTTTGCTGCTGCTTGCTGCTTGCATGCTTGGTGCTGCTGGATGCTCTTGGCTGCTTGCTGGTTGCTGCTGCTTGCTGCTTGCATGGCTGCCTGCTGCTTGTTGTCTGCTCCGTTTTGCTGCTGTTGCTGTTTGGGGTTGTTGGCTGCTGTTGGTGCTGAAGAGCTGAAGAACTGAAGAAAGCCTATTCGTTAGAATCGAGAGTAGTTGCATTCCCTCTGAGTCGTGAAACGATGCTAATTTCATTATATATCCTTAAGAAGCTTGTACAGGCATGTACCCACCCCACAACCCAAGAGTACAAATCAGAATGCACTATCCGCTATCCATGCAGATCAAAAGATCACGAAAGGTAGCGGTTACGCTACCTGAGTTTTCCTTTTGCTTTAGCAAAAATGTATTGACCCAGAGCTGCAGCCTATCTCTCGGAGAAATGGTCCCCGACATCTTCGTTTGCTGGCCGGGGGGGGGGGGGGGCCCCCCCCCCCTTTCAACTCCCCCCTAGCGCGCCTCGGGGTCAACCGTTCGAAAACACTGTAAATATCAGTGTTTTCAGCTCTTCCAGTCCTCAGCAGTGACCAAAAATCATGGAATTTACAGGTTTTTTTGTGGCTGTCCGGCAAAAAACCACCCCAAAACCGATGGTTTTTGATGCGTCTCGGTTAGAAAAATGACCGAAAAAAGACCAAAAACCAGGAAAGATTTTGTCAGAAAGGGTTTTTGAGGCTTTTGGAGGCTTCAAAATTGCACAAAACTATGGTATTTACAGGGTTTTGCGCACCTTCCCGGCAGAAAACGCTGGTATTTACACGGTTTTCTGCGCTTTTCCAGCGCTCAACCGTGGTGCGCCTTTGGATCGACGGCTACAAAATACCGTAAATACCAGTGTTTTCAGCTCCTCCTGTCTTCAAGCGTGGCCTTAGACCTTGCCGCGGCTGTGGATCGACGGCAACGAAACCTCGTAAATACCAGTGTTTTTGAGCACGTCCTGTTTGCAAGCATGGCCTGCGGCCACGCAATTTACAGGGTCGCCGCACGTCACTATGTAAATCCGAAGTGATTCCTTTTGAAGGCACGTCAACCTGTATTGAAACCGCTAGACCGCTACAGCTTCTGGAGGTTTTGTCAAGCGTTTGTGCATTAGTCTTTCTTTCATCACGCTCACTCACTTCTCTTCAAACAAGTGGGGGGCCTCTCACCTCCTCCCGGATTACGCCTGATTCCCTGCTACCTTTCGTTCACCCCCCTCCTCTCTCAAGTTATACTTACTTCACACATGAATGACAGAACCCAGTAAGATGTTTGAACAGGCTGTTTTGCTTCACTCATGGTAGTCCGCGTTCCATGTTCGAGCGACAGGGAGCATGCACAAGCGTTGTCTTCGGTCGCTGGCACATGTTCGCATACAACCCCTAGATGTCAATCATGCACACCGCTGCTGGCTGCATCGTCAGCATTTATTCGTGAAAAAACAGATATATCAGATATATCTGTCTTTCCACGTCGCCCTTCTACAATTACTCAGGCAGCACCTATATGTGCTATTGTTCGAGACCAAATGTTCGGGCACGAGAGACTCTAAGGAAAGCTCACTCTTTCCCTGCTGCTGCTGCTGCGGCTGCTTGGTAGCTGGTGGTGCTGCTTGGTAACTGCTGCTGCTGCTGCTGCTG